AAAATTACCTTCGCTGCCAAATTTATTTTCTCCACAGAACAAGAGGCACTGTAGTGCACTTTTATTTTCTTTATTCCATAAGACAGTCTGGAAGGCTGGGAGTATCCATCCCATTTTATAGATGAGGAAAGTAAGATTCGGAGAGGTGAAGTGATTTATGGAGCTTGCAAAAGGCATGGCTGGTGGGTAGGGGAGGAGAGGATGTGACACAGTAGGACCTGGTAAAAGAAACCACATCGTTCTCACCCCTCAGGTAAACCCAGACATCCTATGGCTGTAGATGCCTCAAGTTTCACCTTATCTTCATTGTTGTATCTTTTTCAGCATTTCCTTTTGATTTCCACCGACCTGAAGTATGAAACACCCTTAAAACGGCAACCAAGTTTCTACGGTTGGGAAGGTCTGGATCTCATAAATGGACAGTGGATGGGGAAATCAGTGCCCTGATTGCTGGTTTGGAGTCCGCTCCAGGAAGTCACTGGCCCTTAATCCCACCGACTGTCAACTGAGAAGGAGAAAACAGTGCACGCTGGAGTCTTAAAGTTCCTGTGGAGTGCCTAGGTTGAAAATTTTCCTTCTCAAGCCCTCTGCGACAGAGGGAGCAACTGGGTTAAAGAGTTAAATCAGGATGTGTGTGTCTCTGTGCATGTGTAGGGAGGATCACTTGAATGTGTGTTCATGTTTCAATGCATGTTGTGTGTTTCTTTGTTTATAAGATTCTGTGAACAAGAGCTAGGCCTGTGCTTCTGAAGAGGTGTGTGAGAAACGTGTACGGACAAGATTTGAATTGGTGTTGTCAGTGGAGATCCCTTCAGCCCTTTCAGTTCTCAAGGGTTCTCCCCCTTCCTGTATGTTGGATTTTGTGTTTTATATTTACTGCTACTGTCCCCTGTATTTAATTAAAATTGTTTTCTATCGATGTCAACCTTGTCTTTTTATTTGCAAAATTTCCTGTCCCTTTGAAAAATAAAATAAGACAGAAAAGAGGGAAGAGAATTTAGCATCTTTAATGTTGATGAAAACTGAGGTTGTGCAGATTTCAAGGCTTGATTTTTGCCTCTTAGGTGTCTGGAAGTTGTATCACTTCTTTAAGTTTTAGGGTGTTTTCCTTCCCAGATTAAATTAAATGGCAGTGCTGAGTACTAGCCCTGGATAACTCACACTTTGATGATGATGATGATGATGATGATGATGTTGTTAGAGCACCTAATCAATGGGGTGTAATTGGAACAAAAGAGGAGGAAGGGGAGACTGGCATGGAGGATGTAAGAAATGAATAGAAACCACAAACTTTGCTTTTGTGTTGTTTGTAATCTAGTGGGGGGATGGAAGAGAGCAGTTGATTGGAGTGCTAACCATATGCCAGACCCGATGTAGGTTACTTCAGGAGTGTCGGTTCATTTCGTTCTCACAGCCTCTCTGTGAAGAATTATGATCCCATTTTATAGATGAGGACACAAAGGTCAAGAGAGATTAAACACACAAACCTGGTAAACAGCAGAAGTAGAAACTGAATCCAAGTCTTTCTGATTCCCAAGTCGTTGTTGTTTACAAGAGGTAGGACTAGAAACTGAAATCACTGAAAGCTCACTTACTACTCTGAACGAGACACTGCAGACAAAAGCATGATCGTAGAGTACTGAGTCGCCAAAGAAAGTCAGACTGCGCACATCAGGCCATAACAGCCGCCCCTTCCGTGCTTGTTGTAATGAAACTGGCATGTTTAACGCTTTGGGGGTGCTCTTTTGCGATATAAAAGTTACTCAAGGTATATCCACAACGTCACTCTGAAACATTACAAATGTTCAGTGGTGGCATTTATTTAAACATGTTCATTTTTCTCAGCTGGTGGGGGTGAAACTCCAGGCTGATTTATTCATTAGAGCAGCGACCCGACCCAGATTCAGCACGTTTTCCAGTACTGCAAGCACTTCCAAAGCAAAAGGGAGCTAGGTCGTGCTAAAAACTGCTGGATTTAGCTCGCTTGGCTTTAGCCTGGAGACAATGACTAGTGACTACCCAAAAAAGGTCAACACGGGAGGGCAGTCTAACTTACCTGAGAGAAAAGCGGTTGTGCGATGAGTTTGGGGCCTCGGCACTTGCCGTAGCCCCTCCTGCTGCGGAGCCGGCCGCGCCTGCGCGCTGAGTCCCGGAAGTGGACCTCGGGACCTCGGGACAGCGCGGCAGCTCTCTTCAAAGCGGCGCCGGGCGTTGATATCCGTAGTCGCCGCCATGAGTCGCAACTACAACGATGAGCTGCAGTTCTTGGAAAAGATCAATAAAAACTGCTGGAGAATCAAGAAGGGCTTCGTGCCCAACATGCAGGTGAGACGGGGGGAGCGAGAGCCGGTGGCGCCGGGCCTTCCCGCCGGGGGCTCGCGGCGCCTCGGCCTCCCGCCGGGCCTCCTCGCCCTCTCGTTGCCCCACGAGCGCCGGGGCCGTCCCACCCCCGTCAAAGCCCCTCTCACCCCACCCTCTGGCCTCGGGACCGGGGTCCCGACGCCGTCTCCCCGCTGAAAGGTCTCCATACCACGTGGATGAGCAAAGCGGGGTTTGTCTAGGCGGGTTCCCAGCAAGTGCGAAGGCGGCGTTTGCAGACCCTTTTCACACATGAGTGTCACAAACGCACCGTACGAGGCGTTCCATTCCCGGGCTTCGGGGACGTTCGTTGCCTTTGACGAGGTGGCACGGCCAGTCCGGGGTAGAGTTGCTGGGACTGGAACTCCATTCCTCCGCGTCCTGCTGGTCATGTGACCTTTACAGATGCGGGTTCGCCCGAACCAGATGGTAGCATTCGCTGCTCCGCGTTGGTTTTTAATAAAGCGGTTTTGTTCCTCACGGCAGCCTGGAAAGGGCAGGCATGGGGGTGACACTGGTTAACAGAGGGGTACAGGTTTCAGGTGCACAATTCTGCCCCTCATCTGTGCCCTGCATTGTGTGTGCACCACCCCAAGTCAAGTCTCCATCTGTCACCATTTGTCCCTTCTTTACCCTCTTCTGCCTCATTGCCGATAGCCCGTCCGGCAGTCATCACCCTAAAACCTATTGATACTGTACAAGCGCAAGAACACTGAGACCTTTGGGCAGTAAGAGCAATTGACTTTTATCACCTGTACAAAGTGTATTACCTGTTACATTCTTAAAGGTGGCTTTGAGAATAGGAGAATGAATAAAACACTTGGGGAACCTTTCAATATACTACATTTTTAAGATACACAGTTGACCCATGAACAACTCAGGTTTGAACTGCATGGGTCCATTTATACATGGACTTTTTTTCAATAAATACTATAATTTCCTTTTCTCTAGCTTACTTTACTGTAAGAATGTAGTACTAGTACATATACAAAGTACATGTTAACTGTTCATGGTATCAGTAAGGCTTCCAGTTAGACTATTATTCTTAGTTAAAAGTTTTTTGGGGAGGGGGTTCAAAAGTTATACACAGATTTTCAACTACTTGGTTGGGGGAGGGGTTTGTCAGTGCCTTAAACCCCCACTTTTTCGGGGGGCAACTGTTTAAGGATGGGAACATCTTGTACTTTTTTATAGGAAGTTTTCTGCTTGTTTAAGGTAATGTGAAAGTATTTTAGAAAGAGTAAAGCAAAATGAATATTGCATACAGTATTTGTATTCTATCCACTGTCTGTACGTCATGTACATGTGCTCAGACATAGTTCTTCATTTTTTTTGGTACCAGGTTGAAGGAATTTTCTATGTAAATGATGCTCTGGAAAAATTAATGTTTGAGGAATTAAGGAATGCGTGTCGAGGTGGCGGTAAGTGCATTAGAATTTTATATGTGGTCAAGTAAGTAATGTCTTTCCTGTAGCCTGAAAAATATGGTAATTCAGATAATTATTTAAAAATACAGAAATATTGTCAAGAAACGACCAAGACTTGAAATGAGACCCAAAAAACTGTTTTTAATTTGTGCTTATATTGTTAGCTACCTGACCTTGTAGAAACCATTTGGAGTAGTTTGGAACTGGTTGGTTTTGAAGCCAACCTTGGGTAATAATAAGAGCTGTCATTTATTGTGCATTTACTATGTGCCGGCACTTTACCAGGTGCTTAACTTAGGTGATCTCATGTAATTCTTAGAGGAATTCTAAGAGGAAGATACTATCTCCATTTTAAAGATGTGCAAGTCAAGGTTCAGTGAGGCTAATTAATTTTAATTGTCAGAGGTTGCACATCTTCTTGGTGACAGAGCCAGATTTCAGACCCAGAAGTAACTGATTCCAAAGTCAGTATTCTTAACCAGTACACTGATTAGCCTTACTCAACTTCAGTTATCTCATCTATAAAGGACATTGTATTACACCTATTTTGCAGGATTCCAGTGAGCTTATGAGATAAATGTAAAAAGCTCTAATAGTAATGGTGGAATTGAAATCTAATTTTAATCCTTTTATTTTTTAGATCAACAAACGTAGTCCCACCTGCCTCCTGCCACAGTATGTTCACTTGTCTAAAATGACAGTGACCAAGTGACAGAGCTGGAATTAAGAGTTCTCTGACTCTTAATCCCGTGTTTTTTCAACTCCACATTGCACCTCTTTGTCACTAGAGTAAAACCAATATTGATGTTTTTTGATAAATAAGGTGAACTATGAAAGAATACATTTTTTATATTGACAACATAATGTTTAATAATTAGGTTTTACATTTCCCAGTACATTTGCAAACAACCTTCCCTGGTTTGCACAGAACACTGACGGGTGTTTGTCATTAGCCTGGCCGCCCTCACTACCTCTCTGTGCATGTGCTGCCGTCTAAAGACGCTGCCTTCACACTTCCATCTCAAACGTCCTTTTATATTGTTTTAGTAGTCCTCATCACATCCCTTCACGTATGCAACCTAGAAATGTAGGAATATACTTACTAAAAACCAAATGTGTCCTCTAATTTTGGATTTTTGTCTTCAGGTGTTGGTGGCTTCCTGCCTGCCATGAAACAAATTGGCAATGTGGCGGCCCTGCCTGGGATTGTTCATGTGAGTCCATGTTCAGAACTTTAATCATTTATATTTTCTCTTAGTCTAAAAGTTTGTTGAATAGATAAATGACCATGCCTAACTATAGTGGTGTCATTTAGACCAGTGGTCGCCAACCTTCCGGACCTCGTGGACCACCGGTTGGCAACCACTGATTTTGAACATCTAGAAATAACCCTGGGACATAAAGAAATAATGGGCCTGAATAATATCAGATTCTGGTTGCCGCCTATAAGCGTTTGAGAACTTTGGAAGTAGTTTTTAATGTGTTCTTGTTTTTTTGTCATTATGCATCGTTTTTCCTGGATTAGTATACACCACTATTGTAGTTTTCACTGGCCCCATTTAAGAGGATGATTGGAGAAGGAACGGAAAGAAGTTTAAGGGTTGGGATTGAGGAGAAGGAAAGAGGACAGTGTAGCATTCTGGACGTGATTGAAAAAGAGGGTAGTGATGAGGCAGAGAATTAGTTACAATACAGAGTGTCCAGGAGCCGAGGAACTGGAGAAGGCTCCAACCCAGGAATGAATGAGGGGAGTGAATTAATGGAGCCCCGGTGACCTGGAGCTCCAGCCTCAGGCCCCAACAGAGGCAAGTCTTGTTCTTCCTCATTCTCTAGATCAGTGGTTCTCAACCTGTGGGTCGAGACCCCTTTGGGAGTCAAACGACCCTTTCACAGGGGTCGCCTAAGACCATCAGAAAACACATATTTTTGATGGTCTTAGGAACCGAGACACCGCTCCTCTATCCGTCTCCAGGTGGATCTGCCCACATGCAGATACAACCACATACAGTACCCGGCGTATTAAAGGGTCGCAGCATTAGGAAAGTTGAGAACCACTGCTAGATGCTCATTCTGGCCTTCAGGCTGTGGACAGGGTGGGGCCTCCTTCACACGACCCTGACCCCTCCCTTCCCCCCAAAGCCCAGGACGCCACTCCTCCCCTCCAAGCCATTCTGCACAAACAAGGCCAGACTAGCATCCTGCTCAGGTTTCCTGGCCTGTGCTGCCTTGGGCCTCACCCCTGCATCTCCCCGTCTGCTGAGGGTATCACAGGGACAGAGGCCTGGGCCTCTTGCTACTCCTTTTGTTTAAGGAAACAAGTAAAACGAATGTTCTTAGCAAAAGAAAAAGGGTAGTGAAAAT